GAAGCGGGAGAGAGAGAGAGAGAGAGAGAGAGAGAGAGAGAGGGTTTGCAAATGCAATATTGAGAATCCAAGTTACCAACAGATGGGCGTTAAATGTATTGATTGTTCATAAACATAGTTTGTTGGCCAAGATAAAAGGTAGGTGGTAGTTGAACCCCCCATGTATGGCAACAAATTCTCCTCAGCAAAGATTTGGACTTAAAAATAAAGCCTACTTTTATATATCCACCTCTCTCCAAAGAAAAATTTCTTCTATAATTAATCAAAGATATCGACGGTCGACTAAGTTGTTTCTTCTTGGCATCACAATCCCAAAACCCGTGCCACAAGGAGAGGAAAAAGAAAAAGGATGGGCATATTGCTTGCCCATGATAAATTCTAGGGTACAATTTTTTCTCATCCACTAGGTTACACCTCATCCTTTGTAGCTCGATGTTGCCCATCTCATTAATGTGCCCTAAGACTTATTTATTTTTTGTGTGAAAATGAACAGGTACTACCAAACCTCTAATATTTATTGCAGGCTGCCTAGCCACATGACTGCCTCCTAACCCAATAGGCGACCATTCTCACTCCCACCGTTCCAATAAGGTCATTGAAAATTTTCTAGCATAATTAACTTTATTAATTGGTCATCCTATGGACAAATTAAGATCCATAAGCATATATACAAGACTTTTGAGTGGCGAATGGGTTTGTTCGTGTAGTTTTCGGTATTAGTGGTAGGTTTGAGTGATTTGAGGAGCTACTTAATTTCATTCATGACACCCTATTAGAATTCTTGTAATAGAGGTAAGCCCCTCAAATATTTTTCAATGATCAATAAAATTTCTCTCATATCGCCGACATTCCCTTAGAAAAAAAATCCATAACCATATACAAGACTTTTGTTACCTTTCTATGCCTGATAATTATTTGACGGTCGATGAAAACAACAAGGGAGCTTGCTAGCACCGGCACTGCATGGTTCATAATGAGGTCTACTTCTTGTGAGCATCGGTTGAGATATCCTTTTCCGATGAAACCCACAAGTTGATTTATTGTTGGGAATGTCAGCAGAGGGCAAATCAACATGCATGTATGCATGCATGCTGGCTTGTCCAAATTTTACATCGATAGGTTGATCGATAACAGTACTAATAATCGTACTTTGGGAAGTTAATTAGAATTAACGTAGAGATGCTTAACATTAACTCATTCATATGCATGGCTTTATTCATTTGCGAAAAGCTGGCTTGGAATATACTTACTTATTTGGTCGGCTTAATTTATTATTGTGTGATTTTGCTGTTAAAAAAAAAAAGGAATAAAAAGAAAGAAACAGCTTTTGCGATATATATATATATATATTATTATTATTCAAGCAAGTAAACTCCTAGCGAACAATAAAAGTCAGGGAGTAAAATATTATTCGAGCAAGTAAACTCCTAGCGAACAATAAAAGTCAGGGAGTAAAACTTGCAATTTAAAACAAGCTTTGCGTCTGAATTTAAAGACAAACCGGTAGTCTAGCTAAATTATATTTCATCCCACAGAGTTTTTAGTTTCTAATCTACAAAGACTTTACAATTTGTGTCATGGGAAGAATACTGAAAAATATCTTTTTATCATGCCAAAAAATTCTGATTCTAACCAGAACAAAAAAAAAAAAAAGCTTAGTAAAATGAGAGAGAGAGAGAGAGAGAGAGAGAGAGAGAGAGAGAGCTTAGTAAAATGAGAGAGAGAGAGAGAGAGAGAGAGAGCCGCTTCCTCTATTCAGAATGATCTCTAATTGAAGATTGTATGTTCAATTTGTTGGATCGCAACAAGATGATTAAACCAAGAACAGCCACACAAGTTTGAACAATAGGAAGCGAACTTTATTAATGAACAAAGTCTTTACAAAAGAACTCACTTAATCTTCTCAAGAGTTCTCCTGCCTTACAAGTCTCCTCAAGTTCCCACACAATACACAATAAGGCTTACCTCTATATATACTAGATAACCTACCATAGAACTAATCCTAAACTAAGTTAGGAATCCCAAAACCAACTGGAAACTTGCGTCCAGGTTTCCTATACAAAATACAACTCGGATTCCTATCTTAGTTAGGAATACAAACCTGATTTCATACCAATTCCAACACAATTTTTCAAAGTGAGAATGCACGTCTAAGATGAAATGAGATCATTTTATGGTGAATGGGAGAAGATTCTCATTAGGGTTGGAGCTACACCTATGATTATGAACATTCAATCCATAGAATATCCCTGGTTTAAAGGAATGGACTTGAATTGAAGACAGGAGCCCCATGTGGTGGGAATTGACATTTGAAAATAAATAAATAAAAAAGAAAAGAAATGTAATTTATCTCTTAAACATTTAATTCTCTACAGCTTATTATTTCTTGATAACTATTTGGGGCTTTGTCATACGCCGCACAAATCTTTTGATCGTTTTTAGCAAATTAGCATGGTTCTTTGGAAGTGTCTCTTTTGTGCAGATCTGCCCCCTATCAAGATTATACACAGATCAATATATGTGCTAAAATACACAATAAGGCCAATACACAGTCTTCTTGTCACATATAACCCCTTTTGCAGCGAATTTAATTCTGTACTTTACTTCTCTGCAAGCGGCAGAGTCGGTGGTGAGAGCCCACCAAATCAATCAAACCAGAAAATATTGGAAGCCCATTAAAGGAGAAATACTTCTCTATCCCCATTTCATTGTCATTCTCTTTTTATCTTTCTCATCCTCTCAAAAGAGACATGATGAGAGAGATAAAGAAAAATGAAATCAATGAAACGGGGCTAGGCTAGGCTAGGCCAGCCAAGCCATGACGAATTCCAAATATATTGATGTCATGTAAAATCTCACACGGACCTATTCAAAGATTATGTTACCTGCTAAAGCAGGCCATGCAAATTATGCATCATCTATAAAAATAACCCATGTGAATTCTGAACCTTAAAACTTTTCTTCAATATTGCCAATGGAGACCCTTAAAATTTCTGATTGTTTTCTGCTATGGTTTATGTGCTCAACTGTTCTGTTTTTGAATGCCTTGCAGCCCTGTTTTGCTTTCACTTCATTTGTGTTTGGAGACTCTTTGGTTGATGCAGGAAACAATGACTACATTTTCACTCTCTCAAAGGCAGATTCTCCTCCTTATGGCATTGATTTTAAGCCTTCTGGTGGACATCCCACCGGTCGATTCACAAATGGTCGAACCATTTCAGACATTGTAGGTAAATGCACTTAATGTTAATTTGCTCCCACCAACCCTAGCTTGACTTGGTGCTCTCTTAGCTAATTTCTAAATAATCATCAACTAATTCCTTCGGTCATTTAATGTTCTATGAAGCAACTCAATTATCCCAGCATGAAAAAAATTAACAAGAAAAATAGAGTCTAAGAATTCATCAGAGTGCCTGAGTTTTAAATTGGCTCACAAGATTTTTATTTATTTTATTTTTGTACTTATTTATGTGTGACAAATGATAATGCAGAAGCCACTAATTTCCATTTATGCCATGCATGAAGATGATCTTCTTTTTCTTTTTTTCTTTTTTTCTTTTTTTAAATAGGGCCCCAGAATTTTATTAAAATTGACATTTGTTTGGTTTTGTTGACTAATCATAATAATTAGCCATTTTATTACTAATCGTAGCTAATTTGCATGGTGTAATCAGGCCAAGCTTTTGGAGCCAAGTCATTTCCTCCACCTTATCTAGCACCAAACACTCAAGCCAACTCAATCCTCGGAGGAATAAATTATGCTTCTGGAGCCTCTGGAATATTAGATGAAACGGGGGTTTTATTTGTAAGTAATTATAATTAGGAACTTTAATCACAACCCCATTTAAATTAATCTCACAGATTTGTTATTATTATTGAACACAGATTGGAAGAGTTCCACTGCGTGAGCAAGTAAATAATTTTGAGCAAAGCAGAAGTTACATGGTGGAAGTAATGGGAGAGAAGCATACAATGGAGTTTCTAAAGAAGGCAATCTTCTCAGTCACAATTGGATCCAATGATGTCCTCAACTATTTCCAACCAACCATACCTGTTTTTGGTAATGGCAAAGTCTCTCCTAACTTGTTCCAAGACTTCATGGTCTCTAACTTGACTATACATCTCAAGGTACAAACTTTAACCAATCATCTAATCAAAGCTTAATTAGCCCTAAATAAACAATAATTAAGCTTACGATTTTGATATTTCTTTGATCTAATTATGTATGTGAGTTTCTGTGTGAAGAGATTGCACTTGTTGGGAGCTAGAAAGTTCATTGTGGTAGGGGTTGGACCGCTAGGATGCATACCCTTTATTCGTGCCATCAAATTATTACTTAGTGGACAGTGCTCTGCTAAGGTGAATGAGTTGATCCAAGGCTACAATACCAAACTGAATGGGGTTTTGGATCAATTAAATCAAGAATTGGGTCCTGAAGCCATCTTTGTTTATGCAAATTCCTTTGATATCTTCATGAAGATTATAGGAAATTATCATCAATATGGTAACCAGCTCTCAAAACCAGAGCTACCCTTTAATTCGTTTTACCGCCAGATGAAGTGAGTTTGATAATTTTTTGGTTTTGCTAGGATTTGCTAGTGGACAGTGCTCTGCTGAGGTGAATGAGTTGATCCAAGGCTACAATACCAAACTGAATGGGGTTTTGGATCAACTAAATCAAGAATTGGGTCCTGAAGCCATCTTTGTTTATGCAAATTCCTTTGATATCTTCATGAAGATTATAGGAAATTATCATCAATATGGTAACCAGCTCTCAAAACCAGAGCTACCCTTTAATTCGTTTTACCGCCAGATGAAGTGAGTTTGATAATTTTTTGGTTTTGCTAGGATTTGAGGATGCAAATGAGCCATGCTGTGGTGGGTACTTTCCACCATTTATTTGCTTCAAGAGCAGTGGTACAAACAGAAGCTCTGCGTTGTGTGCCGATCGGTCGAAATATGTGTTCTGGGATGCATATCATCCTACAGAAGCTGCAAATATGATCATAGCCAAGGGGTTACTTGATGGGGATGAAAGTGTTAGCTATCCCATTAACATCCGTGAGCTTTACAACTATAACTCCTAGCGTGACATATATATAGCCTACTTCAAAATGTTGGCCCAAGATTGTAATGTAGGCAGGGAATGAATTGAACTAAAATGTTTATGTTTGATCATAATGTTAAATCATTGAAGGAATATCAAGAAACACAGAAGATGGAAGAAGCATCATTTTTAAAACAGATTCCTGCCTTCAATTACAAAGGTCAACTCTACTCTGGCATTAGTTTCTGACACGGCTAATTAACTCAAAGAGAAGTCAACCCCCTGCAATCTTGCAGTTCATTTTCTAGGAAAATGTTTTTGAAGTTGAGAAAAGAAAATTAATGTAAACAATTGGCTTCTCTTCTGTAACGCCATCTTCCCCATTCAATTCCTTTGATCAATGAATATCAGAAAACCATTTCTTTGTAAGAAATTAAAGGGGTTGACCATGCATGGATCTTCCTCCATTACAATTTTATTCTGTTTGCCAACTACCATCATCAACCACATAAATGAAACTAATGAGTCAAAATGCAGACCCTGCATGATTTTTAATACTCAATCTGCAGACCTGTTGACCTGCTAAAGAACCTAGTAATGGAAATCCAAACCACAGTTCAAGTTTGTGAGGAAATGCACACTCAGAAATCAATAATGTTGTTGTATATATACACTGTTTCCTTCCCAATGCGCTGAGATAGTATGAAAACCAAGATAAATTACTAAAGTTTTTTTTTTTCTTTTTCTTTTTGGTTTTTCTGGTTTGATGTGTATAACTTTAATAATTAATAAAACATTGAATTTTATTAAAATTGAAGGCAAATTGAAAGATGTTGGGTATTATGAGATGCCAATTCTGGGTCCAGTCTGCAGTTATGCAGTGTGCAGGATATGGTCTTTGTTAACAATGCATCCAACGGACATTAGGAAATTGGTCTTTATTAGTAATGCAACCAATAGGCTTTGGGAAAGTAGGTTCTAAACTTCTAATAGAGCCATATAAAAGGCCAACATATTTTAAATCTCATATTGGGCCTGGGACTGCTAATACCAATTTACTTTTCCATATATTATGAACTTGCTTGGGCCAAGGCCCTGCCAGCCAGTAGATGCAAAATATAAATTAAAGTAGATTCTGAAAATCTCATCTGCCAATGTCTAAAGATACTGTATTTATGTAGTTAAATAATTAATAGAAAAAGAAAAGGAAAAAAAGAAAAAATCATGAAAGGTCACTAAAAATCATGACTTGTGTGTTTCAAACTGACATTTTTCTGTTTTTGATGTACATAATCTCATGATTTGTTCAACTCTAGCAATGCTTCTTTTCCCGATGTTAGAAGCGATTCAAAGTTCCAACATGTTAGATCTGAAAATTAACTAAACAACACCAGCCAGGAGAACATTGAGGTTTCTTACTCTACAATAGTGTTACGCCATACACCACCAAATCAATGAAGCATGCTTCCTATCCCACCACTATTTCTTCGCATCAATCTCCTCTTTAATCAACAAAAAGAAGAGTTTAATATATATATATATATATATATATTATATTTAATCCCATAATCGATGTCACATTGCATAAGAATATTACATAAATGACTAGGGCATAGCTACATTAAAAAGTGACAATTTAAGAACATTCTTATTTCTTGGATCTTGAAACAAGGAACAAGAACACTAGGCTGCATTGCTCCTCATAATCTTTTCAATGTCTCCACCTTTGATTTACCTGTGTCTTTTATGATTACCAAATCTTTCTCCAGCTGAGGGAATATATTGACAAGGATGTTATACATAGCTTTGTAATTCCATTTTCTCCATCTCTTGCAGAAAACAAGTGAACCAATGACAATTGCACAGCCAAATGCAAATCCAATTTCAACACTCAGAAGATCCCAATCAATCTCATGTTCAGAATTGGAAGTTTCCATTCTATGTTGTTGGTGGTGCAATCCTGTTTTGTTATCATCCACTGTCAAAGAAGGTCCTCATAATCCTTTGTTTCCTGTAAATGAGTCTTTTGGAAATGTCGAAAACTGAGTACCGGTTGGGATTTTGCCAACCAGTTGATTATTTGAGAGATTATTTTTCAATCATATCTGAGCGCCGGCCTCATGATCTCAATGATGGATGTGAGGGCGATGATGATTTTGATGATGATGTTGGTGACGTTGATGGCGATATTGACGACGTTGATTACAGCAACGATGCTTTCTCAGATGCCATAGATGTGTTCTCATTGTCAGAGGCAATAGACATTACGGAAAAGAAAGCACAGAAAAAACATGAAATTTCATAATCAAGGGAGATGAACCAAAAGTGCTCAAATTTTATAATCGAGCGGTTTCTTCCAGATGCCACTACATTGGCTGCATCATCTGCTCCACAGCTAAATGTTTCCCATATCAGTTCGAGCAATGAGCTTTCTTATCCATGGAATTATCCAGAGCCAGAGGCTTGTGTTTCAAGAAGAGTCTGCAGGCAATCGTACTCTTCGCCTAAGGGTTGTGGCTTGCATGTTTTCTTCCCTTGGAGCATGAAGCACAAGCTCTGTGGAGTTAAGAGCCCTGTCAGTGCACAAGCTCATTGGAGTATAAAACACAAGAAACATAGATCATAAGCAGCTGTTTGTGGTCTCTAGCCTTTTGTTGTTCTTAGCTGTTTGTGTTTTCTGGTCTCTAAGCTTTTGTTTTTATTCCTGTCTTCGGTTTTGTGTCTGTTTCTTCCCTCCTTTGTCTTTCCTTCGTTTTGAATGAAAGTTTCTCTTGACCAAAAAAAAAAAAAAAAAGCAGCTAAAAGGCTAATTAAGTAATTAAAACTTGATGTATGGTATAATTATGAAATTTTCTTCTTTTTGCTCTCCTTCTGTTTCTATCTATCAAAAAGTTTTACTTACATTCTGCTTATTGGTTTGATCTGATGATGCAGATAAATTAACTGCAATCTAAATAAGTTTTGCATTTAAATCTCCATATAATTGTTATGTGGCATATTGATATGGATGAATTGGTACTTGTGCTGGTAATAATCTTCTGTTTCTATCTATCAAAAAGTTTTACTTGCATTCTGCTTATTGGTTTGATCTGATGATGCAGATAAATTAACTGCAATCTAAATAAGTTTTGCATTTAAATCTCCATATAATTGTTATGTTGCATATTGATATGGATGAATTGGTACTTGTGCTGGTAATAATGAAATTTTAATTTCAGATTATGGCAAAACAGTATATTACCGACATGAAATTGCTTATAATTTAAGGTCACGAAAGGCTGGCTATTATTCACCAAGACATTTTCTACTAAAATCCAAATGTTGCTCAACAATACATGGCTTGGCATTCATTTACATATACAAATAGACTGAAACATATTTTTTGGAAAGTAAGCAAATGCGTATTCAAAAGCACATTCTCTTATCTTCCTCGAATTGCCGATGGTGCAATGACGTAAGTTGATTGTTTATGCCAAAGTTACCATTCATTTTCTAACCATTATACCACAACAAATCTATCTACAAACTTATAAAATCATGCTTAAAGGGGAAAGAATGAAAAAACATAACAAATAATGGCTGCAAATATTTGCCGCTTAGCCACCCTCATATGCAAATGCCACTTTTTTATTTTCCTTTTTATTTTTTGTTGTTGTCGTCAATTTAGCAATCAGAAGTGATATGTAACGTTTCCTCTTACATCTGAGGTTCTATATTTTATATCCTTCTCGCTCGATATTATTTGTATAAAAAGAATAATATATAAAATTATAATTTTTAAGCACATCAACACCAACATTAATTCAAACAATATGGCCAACGAGCCTGCAATGGCAAACTCCCAAATGTTAATTCGACTGCTCACAACAAAATCAAAATGGCCTGCTCTTTTAGAAAAATACAACGGAGAGCTCAAGGCCCCACGCCAATGGCCATTGCAAATTCCCTTTCTTTGCCTTGTTTCTTGAAAATTTGTCAGAAGAAAATACGAAAAATTCAGAAGTAAAAATTCTCTGCAATTTTAGTATTAGTATTGTGTGACTCATAACTGGAAAGCGACTTTGTGTTGTTATCTATCACTTCAAGAAAATACAAAGACAGAGAGAGAAACTTTAATGTATTTGCTTCTGCAAGGTGAATTGAATTTCTTTTATTATTGAGTGTCTAGGGGTTTCGAATCTCTACCCACATTGATGAAGGTGGAATAGTTCAACCAACTGAGCTATAACTCACTAGTGGTGAATTGAAAATTTGTATAATGGTTGATTATTCAATATTGGTTACAAGACCCATCAACAAAGCATGTGCATAAGTAAATTTTCAAACAAGGCCTTTTTTTTTTAAAGACCTCTTTTATTGAGATGGGTGATAGCATATTAAACTCACACACAATACACGGATGCTAGAACTCGAACCAAATAACTACACTAGTGAATTATTTCCTAAACAATGTCATTATTGATTAAACTTCTTTTTTTTTTTTTTTTTTTTTGGTCAATATTGATTAAACTTCTATGGAGCCAAATAAAGGCTTTTTAATCTCATATTGGGCCTGGGACTGCAAATGATACAGATTATTTTTCCAAATATTATGAACTTGCTTGGGCCAAGGCCCTGCCAGCCAGTAGATGCAAAATATAAAGCAAAGTAGATTCTGAAAATCTTATCTGCCAATGTCTAAAGATTACAGTCAACAAGCGTGGCATTTGCCTTAGCCTCAAATCCACCCCACCATGACTTAAAGCTTATTCAATATCAACCTCACAGGCTTTCCAGAACCTCAGAAAACTGGGACCAGCCATTCAGTTCTCAGTCTACATGTCTTCATTGAATCTACAAAGTTTGATAATAATAAACCAATTAAAATAGATAATGGTGAACTGGGATTTTCTCATAATTTCATAATTTAGAGGAACCAATGAATAGTAATGGAATAGATAGAGCCAGTAAATCTCTTCCAAGAAAGGCACGTGTGGTCATAATTATTTCTAAGCAAACAAAGCAAAACTCAACCAATCATATACCCTTTAGCTAGCATTTGGTAAGTTGTTCAGGTATGTTGTATGAACAAAACCATCCCCATTAAACTCTGTGTCATGCATTTTGTGTTGTTGCATTTGTATTTCTCAGCTCTTCGCATACATACTAAAGAAGACACCCAGCTGAGCATTTATATCCCTTTTTCTTCTTTGTTTTCTTTGCACCAGAATTATAGTGATTGATTTCATGGTGGTTCTAAGCCTTCAACCTGTCCAATTTTCTACCCCTAAACACATGTTATTATGTAGACCGGGCAGTACTGGTTATCCCATCCGATGTGGGATTGCAGAGCCATCAGGAGAGCCAGCTCCCATGGGACAAAAGACCAAGTACAATGATGGGTTTTTTGAGAAGGGATTTATGACACTGTTTGCTCGCAAAATGAAGAAGTTTGCATCTCCAGCGAAGGCCAGGACTGAGACTAAGGAGAAGGCATGGTGGGAATATGACTATGAGAGCTTTGTGGATGTGTCTAAGAGAGTGATGCAGGGGAGGTCTAGAGTTCAGCAGCAGCAAGTAGTTCGAGAGGTGCTCTTGTCTATGCTGCCTCCAGGTGCGCCTGCTCAGGTGGATAATAATTGACTATTAATTCTCACTTCTCTAATGTTTGGTCTTAGTGGTTAATTTGTTGGCAATTGGTTATAATTTTGTAGCACATGAAGGGATGGGGGTTTGGTTTGTCTGTTGTATGGATGAATTGAATAGTTATTTGACTTGTTATCTTTGCAGTTTAGGAAATTGTTTCCACCAACAAAGTGGGCAGCTGAATTCAATGCTGCATTAACAGTGCCTTTCTTCCACTGGTTGGTTGGGCCTTCTGAGGTAATTATACTTTTACTCCTCTTAGCTATAGCAAGATAGAGTCTATACTGTATAGCATGAGTGGTGCTTTGTCACAAAATTAGAAATTGCTCATCTTTTCAACCTTTTAAAAGATTAATTTGGTTTTGGTCAATGTCAAATATCTGAAATTATTTGGTTTTTCTGTTGTGCAAGCTAAATATGATGTTTCATTTGTAGCTTCCTTTTGGACTTAATTGTTGTGATACACTAATTTATGGGCATCCACCAGGTTGTAGAAGTTGAGATAAATGGGGTGAAGCAAAGAAGTGGAGTCCATATAAAGAAATGCAGGTGGGATCTATATTTCATGATGTCCAAATTGAATATGAATTTGTCAAGTTAACATACATAAAGAAATTTCCTTTCGAGGAGCTGCAAAGATAAAACTCCATGATGTAGGGTTCTTAAATGGAAACAATTTTGATAGACGACATGACTGAAAACACAGCCAATCACTAATTTTCTAACTTTTGCATTCTTCCTGATCTAGGTACCTGGAGAACAGTGGGTGTGTTGGAATGTGTGTGAATATGTGCAAGTTTCCTACTCAAGATTTCTTCACCAATGAATTTGGGCTTCCCTTAACCATGATTCCAAGTATGTTTCATTATCTTGGTTTAATTATGCACAAAAATCAGACTTTAAGGCTGGAATTCTTATATAAGTTTGATCAAACACATTCCAAGTAGAAAACAGAGCTTTCTGAATTGGATTTCCTTGTGCAGTAATTATATTAATAAACTTGTACTTCTTGTCTTATCCCCATTCTTTCTATGCTCAGATTTTGAAGATATGAGTTGTGAAATGGTGTATGGCCAAGTTCCACCACCATTTGAAGAGGATCCAGTGTCCAAACAACCATGTTTTACTGATATATGTAAGTTTGTAGAGCTTGTATATTATGTGATCAGTGGAGATGTATATTCCTGATTTCTAGCTATGCGTTTATCTGCAGGCTCCATTGCAACTCCCAGCTCCAGTGTCTGTCCAAAATTACAAGCTTGAAAGATACTCCTCCGTTATTCATAGTTCAAGTACAGATTTCAAGTTCATATGTCACATCCATCTTACAGTTCAACTGCAGTACATATCTTTTATGCATGTTGAACATGGCGAAAGTGGAAGTTACCATATCCCTATTAGGCTGAAAATTTATTTCTCATGACAGAAGAGAGAATTTGTTTGTAAAATTAAAGACAATATATCACTCTTTATAAGCCCTAGGTCATATCTCATTTTGGAGAACCTAGGAACCAACAATGTGTCTAATAGACTGAATTTGAGTTTTCGTTTGCTTTTTATGGTGTATGGAAGAGAGATTATCTTCTCCTCTCCCTGAGGTTTTATCAAGTGGTCCTGTGAATTGAGAAACCTTCAATAAAGTCACATGTTTGACAACAAGTTCATTCATTTTGCATATACTTTCGAGGCCAGCATACCTCCTCCAAGGAGTAGGAAATCAAGCTACATGGTAAAATAAGCGAAATAGATACGATGACCTGCCCCATGCTTGATATAAAGTTTCTGATGCAAAATTTGGCAAGGTTGCTGGGTTTGTAGCTCAACTGCAGGAAATATGCAAGCACTTGATGCTGCTGAAATTCAGCCTGCCTTTCAGGCTTTCACTATTGGGCACATGAAAAAAGGGATTAGGTTTTAGCTCTTGCAATTGGCAAAATCTGTCACTGCCATATTGATGTTCCTTTCATTCCTTTGAAAATGTTGGGGAAATCTGAGAGTCCCAGAAAACAAGCAAACTCAAAAACCCCTTAATTTGTGCTCTACGATGCGATCATCAAATCATTTGGTGCTTTTCCAACCCAAAAATAAAATAAAATATAAAACTCTTGACCAAAAATGTGAGATTCTAGGACGTCACTGTAAGTCCCAATCACATGATAGGTGGAATTTATGGCTACAGCATTAGCGCCTTTAACTAATAAAACCGCTCATGCAAGTTGGAAAAAACCCACCACCTCTTTTTTCTTTTTGCCTTCTTCTTCTTCCTCATTTTAAATCCTTCAAACTTTTTTTTAGCTTTGGCGGCCCATGTGATTTGCTTTATCCATCCGTTCAAACAATCCGTGACTTTGCTGCTACAGACAAATCACATTTTCTTCTACAACCTCCATCACACGCCTTAAATTGTGGCATCCAAAGTCCAACCATGCCTCTAATTTGAACCCAATTTGGCTTCACGTAAATTTCGCTTTTTGTTCAAGACTTTTGGCATGATTTAACAGTACTAAGCGCTTCTCTGTGTGCAGATTGCAACACTCATGAAGAATAGAAACAGAAGTTTTTTTAATAAAGTTTTTTTGGAACCATGTGAAGATTATGCTCTGTTTTGCGTCTTTTTGTCTCTGTTTTCTGACTCTTCAGTTTTCATAATATCCAATAGCACAGGATAAAGTTTGCAACTTTGTATCATTATGTGTTTTATCCTCAGAACCCTAATGTCCCATTTTGGCGCATTTGATCCCGTGACAAGCATGACACCTCTCTCTCTCTCTCTCTCTCTCTCTCTCTCTCTCCCAACGACCAACCGAACAAACCAACTTCCTTCTTCTTTCTCACTGCCTATAAATTGAAGTATTGTGCCTCAACACATTTCAAACCCACCACCTTATCTTAATTAGGTCTCTGCTGCTATAGCACGGAAGAGGCTTAGGATTGAGGAAGAAATTGGTTATATAATGGCTTATGCTGCCACATTTTCTTTAGTGACACAAGTTCTAGGCTTAACACTTTGTTTGCTCAGTTTATGCTGCTCTGCCTTCACTCCTCAAGACTACTCAGATGCTCTTGAGAAGTCCATCCTCTTCTTTGAGGGCCAGAGGTCCGGGAAATTGCCGGCGAACCAGCGTGCCACTTGGAGGGCAAATTCTGGCTTGTCTGATGGCTCCTCATACCATGTACTAATTAATTTAATTTTTTTCAACTACTGTATATTTTGTCATTTTACAATATAAAATGATACTAAGGTCTAAGGTGTTACTTGGGTGTGACTTGAATTTTTCAGGTGGACCTAGTAGGGGGCTACTATGATGCTGGAGATAATGTCAAGTTTGGCCTGCCAATGGCCTTCACAACCACATTACTTGCATGGAGTGTCATTGAGTTTGGTGACTCAATGCATAACCAGATTGAGAATGCCAAGGATGCCATACGTTGGAGCACAGATTATCTTCTAAAAGCAGCCACTTCAACCCCTGGAGCCTTATATGTCCAAGTGAGAGAAACAAAATTATAAATTGGTTACACAAAAATGAGAGCTAGAGAAAAATGACTATTATTAATGACATTTGTTTTCAAGCTGAAGAGAAGTCCTGAGAGTCACATGTTTTGGTGGTGCAGGTGGCAGATCCAAACGCGGACCACAAGTGCTGGGAGAGGCCTGAAGATATGGATACGCCGCGCAATGTGTACAAGGTGTCAGCTCAAAATCCAGGATCAGATGTAGCAGCAGAGACTGCTGCTGCATTGGCTGCAGCTTCCATGGTGTTCAAAGACTCTGACCCTTCTTACTCTGGAAAATTGCTTCACACAGCCATGAAAGTGAACACCTAACACAAAAGTTAATTCATTTTTTAACAGTTTTTCCAATTAACACCACTTCATTATTTACAAGGAAGTTAATTTTGAATTTTGATCATCATGCAGGTGTTTGATTTTGCAGACAGGTACAGAGGTTCTTACAGTGACTCTATAGGCTCAGTGGTCTGCCCTTTTTACTGCTCATACTCAGGATACCATGTAAGCCAAAGGCATAACATAATTTGCTTCTAATTTCCTTTGTTTTAATCCATTAAAGGTTCCTACTGATCCCAATTGTTCTGATTAGGATGAGCTTCTGTGGGGTGCTTCATGGATCCATAGAGCCTCTCAGAACAGTTCATACTTGGCTTACATCAAGTCCAATGGCCACATCTTGGGTGCAGATGATGATGGTTTCTCCTTTAGTTGGGATGACAAGAGACCTGGAACAAAAGTCCTTCTTTCCAAGGTTTATTTTATTCTCATAGTCACACCAGAAAAATCTTAACAGGTCAAATTACTTATAATTATTTGGATTTTGGTACAGAACTTTCTAGAGAAAAACAATGAGGAATTCCAGTTATACAAAGCACATTCAGACAACTACATATGCTCCTTACTTCCTGGAACATCTAATTTCCAGGCCCAATATACCCCTGGTAACCTACCCTTTTACCTTTTCGTGCTGATATTGTGCTTACATCCAAAACTACGTCATTCCACATTTAATCGAAATGGTTTACAGGAGGACTTCTCTACAAAGCAAGTGAGAGCAATCTCCAGTATGTTACTTCCACAACACTCCTCCTACTCACATATGCAAAGTATCTTAGAACAAATGGAGGAGTGGCCACATGTGGCTCCTCAAAAGTCACAGCAGAAGCCCTAATCTCAGAGGCAAAGAAGCAGGTTGACTACATACTTGGTGACAACCCAGCAAAGATTTCATACATGGTAGGGTTTGGGAAGAAATACCCACTACACATACACCACAGAGGCTCTTCTCTGCCATCTGTGCATGAACACCCAGAGCGCATTAGCTGCAACAATGGATTTCAATATCTGAATTCTGGATCACCCAACCCAAATGTGCTTGTTGGAGCCATTGTTGGTGGACCTGATAGCAAAGACAGCTTCTCTGATGACAGGAACAACTATCAGCAATCTGAGCCAGCCACTTACATCAATGCACCAATTGTTGGGGCTCTTGCTTTCTTCTCTGCCAACACCAACCCAAATTAGCTCCAACTTCTATCAACCTCTAAAGTTAAAAAAAAATTTAGAGGAAAGTAGATTTGGAGACAAGTGAAGAGCTGTATGAATAGCAGATTGAAAGGTGAAACTTTAGTATCATGTTAATTAGTTGTTTAGAGGGCAAATCAGGGTCCAAATGTTGTGCCATTGGCATTTCCATGAGCTGTGGCACAGAGTTTAAAGTGTAGGTTGGAAAATGGTCTTAATTTACAATTGGATTGAGAGCACTCCCAAAAAATTAAATATGAAAAGACTAGTTTGCCTTTATATAAAATGACTATTTGAAAGTCTACATCCCAAGCATCATTTTTTTAAGCTCTTAAACTTACTCTCACTCTACTCTAATCACTAGAGGTATAAAACAATATGAAAGAAACTTAATTTTGAAGAGTAGAACATCAAATCATCTTTTTAGAGTCACCAAATGAAGCGTGGGTCGATAATTTTTTATTGTCATTTATGACTTTATGATTTTTATATTATCACCGCTAAATTGAGTTTATAACCCTAATCAACCCCTACTTAAAAACAGTCTACGATTTGGTAACCCGAATGTCATGAATTTAAAAACGCATCTAGTAACCTGTATGAATTATGGAAAATTAATTAATATAAAAAAATTTCTAGAAATGAATAATTAGATTAGGGAATGGTGTTAGTGATGAAGTGAAATGAATCTAAAGTTAACATATGTATCAAGTGATCTATATAAATCATATATTCGATAAAACCAGAAGAAATCTAATCGTTCCCTTATGAATCCATCTGCTTATGAAAACAAATCTTCAGCTTAAAAATTTATGGAAAATAAATCACAACGAATATGGCAACCACGTAATTACTCAAAAATCCGAGCCCAAATCCGTAATCTCCATAAAAGGCATAAATTAATAAATAAATAAATAAAGGGCAAAAGAAAGAAAGAGAAAACAGAACAAGAAACAAAATGGTCATTTCCCCATTTTTATATCCGCGAGTTGGGCAGTCGGTAGTTACAACGAAACATCCAAAATCTTCATCTTCTTCTTCTTCTTCTTCTTCTCCATCGACGAATAAATCTCAGCAATAAACTCAAAGAGAGAGAGAGAGAGAGAGAGAGAGTTGCAGCGACAGATCTGATCGTTTTGCCCCAAATTCCAGACCCCAAAACGATGTCGTTCGCTCCTCGCCCCTTCCCCATCCTCCTCCTCTCTCTCCTCACCACCTTCTTCTCTCTCTGCTCCGCCGAGATCCGGTCCTCCTCTGTCCGATCCGACTGGCGACCCATCATCCCCTTCGACGAGTTCGGATTCACCCACAAAGGCCGCCTCGAGCTCAACGTCTCCAAAATCGCCCTCTCGGATCAACCCAACCCGAATCCGGACCTCTCCAAAGTCGGGTTCTTTCTCTGTACCCGAGACTCCTTGATCCATGTCTCCCAGCAGCTCGAAGAAGGCGATGTACGGTGCGCGCTAGATTCGAACCTCGTCAAGCGCGTCTACACCTTCGACTCTCTTAAAGGCGGCCGTGAATTCTCCACCGTCTTCTCCGAGACCGACGCCGATCAGTACATGCTTCTCTTCGCCAACTGCCTTCAGCAGGTCAAGGTCTCCATGGACGTCAAATCGGCGATGTACAACCTCGAAGGGAAGGAAAACCGCCGCGATTATCTCTCCGCCGGTAAAACAATTCTCCCTAGGGTTTACTTCTTCTTCTCTTTAGTCTACGCTGCTCTTGCCGGTTTGTGGATCTTCGTGCTCTATAAGAAACGACTTACCGTTTTTGGAATCCATTTCTTTATGCTCGCTGTTATAATTCTCAAAACTTTCAACTTGCTCTGTGAGGCTGAGGACAAGTCGTATATCAAGCGCACTGGTAGCGCTCATGGCTGGGATGTGTTGTTCTACATCTTCAGCTTCTTAAAGGGTGTCATGTTGTTCACTCTCATCGTTCTGATTGGAACTGGGTGGTCGTTTTTGAAACCCTTTCTGCAAGACAAGGAGAAGAAGGTTTTGATGATTGTGATTCCGCTTCAGGTCGTAGCCAACATTGCCCAGGTTGTGATTGACGAGACTGGGCCTTTTGGGCATGATTGGGTTACTTGGAAGCAGGTGTTTTTGCTTGTAGATGTTGTTTGTTGCTGTGCTGTCTTGTTTCCGATTGTGTGGTCTATTAAGAACTTGCGTGAGGCTGCTAGGACTGATGGCAAAGCTGCTGTGAATTTGATGAAGTTGACTTTGTTCAGGCAGTACTACATTGTGGTTATATGCTACATTTACTTTACACGGGTTGTGGTTTATGCATTGGAGACTATCACTTCATACCGGTACCTTTGGACCAGTGTGGTTGCCGCAGAGTTGGCCACGCTTGCTTTCTACGTGTTTACCGGGTACAAGTTCAAGCCGGAGGCGCACAACCCGTACTTTGTGATTGATGATGAGGAGGAAGAGGCTGCAGCCGAGCAGCTGAAGCTTGAGGATGAGTTCGAATTGTGATTTAGCGTAGAGAGGAATGAAGATTGTGCTCTGTAATCCAATTGGGAAGACGTCGAGGTAGAGTTTCAACAATTACAATGGGGTATATTTTGTGTTTTCTTTGTGTCATGTTGACCTTTTGTTATAATTGGAGTTAGTACTTAGTAGGATAATGTCACACCCTCATGAATTTTTCTGTGAATTGAAGAATATGTGTAAGTACTGAAAGATAATGTTTGGATTAATTTTTTTTGCATAAAGTGTGTGCATCCACCTTCTGTTTCAAATTTTACTTTTATAAAGCCCTTTGATTCCACATTAATTTGGTTCATGGTGAAGCTATCTAAAATGATTTTTGAATTGTTTCATTCGAAGTATTGTGGTTTTCATGTGGCCGGAGGGAGTATTAGAAAACAGAGAGATGGAAAGGGTCATGATTTTTCATGTACCAAATAGGAATTAGAACAGTGGACTGTTGTTGTTACCCGGCCATGACACCAAACTCGCTGTTTTTTAGGTTCATGCATGATATAAAATGTTATGCTAGCCAAATGGAATATTTATGCAGGGTGGATGAAGCAATGTATGTTCTGGGTTGCTCTCCATTGCTAGTAGCCTAGTAGTGCTTTCTTTTTCCTTTTTTCCTTTTTCCTTTTTGGTTGAGGAGGGGTTGCTTAATTAGTTGTCGGTATGTTGGAGTGTATCAGTATAAATTATTTGAGGGATGCTTACATTTGAAGGTACAAAGCTATCAGATGGCATGCTTCATCCCGTCTTACTATTCAATTTTATGATGTCATAACATTAATCAGTCCTGATTTATGTTCTAATATCTTTGAAGAGTGTTTCTGATATGCGTAATATCGAACACGAGGGTGTGGTACCATTCCACCTCTATTGTCATGTTTTGCAACAATCAGATTTCACCGTCCACGACTGTCTCCGTTCTAATTTCTTTAGTTGGCTGAGTTTTGATTTCTTTGGGATCCTTTAGTCCTTGAGTTGCCTTGCCATTTTATGATTATAACTTCGGTCAAGGGTTTTGTTATAGGATTGGATTTTCGTAGTATTATTAGTTTTCTTTTATAACCCCCTATAAAGATATTTAGTGATATACTCATTCTTAGCACTAATATTATAGATAAATCCTACACCATTGAATTTCTATAAACGAACCCAAAAAATGACAGCTGGCATTATTGAATTTAATATTTGTGATTAAATTACTTTGATGCTTTATCGAGTGTTTTGTGTATTTTTATGAGATTTTGGGGTTGGACTTGATTTAAGAAATTGATGGTAGTTTTGTAATTTATAAGAAGTTAAAAGCCTCTTTGTTATGTTCTAAATGGGTTTTGGATGTGTTTCTAAAGTCCATTTCATATGGGTTATTTTTATAAGTTGGGCTCATATATTGGGTATAATAGTAAATCTCCATTATCTATAAGACCAAGTATTCTATCAATTTTGAATGCCCAGAATTCACGCCTGCCTCTTGGTCTAGGCTGACTTTGAATTTTAAAGGCTTTTGTTGAATAACCTTCTCTCTCAAATGACAAAGCGTGATGTTAATGCGTTAGCTTAGCTCCCCCAATTTCCAACCTTCAACAATGTTTCTTAAGCAACGCGTCAAATCACCTAGTAGCGTTTTGTATTTTTATAAGTTGGGCTCATATATTGGGTATAATAGTAAATCTCCATTATCTATAAGACCAAGTATTCTATCAATTTTGAATGCCCAGAATTCACGCCTGCCTCTTGGTCTAGGCTTACTTTGAATTTTAAAGGCTTTTGTTGAATAACCTTCTCTCTCAAATGACAAAGCGTGATGTTAATGCGTTAGCTTAGCTCCCCCAATTTCCAACCTTCAAAAATGTTTCTTAAGCAACGCGTCAAATCACCTAGTAGCGTTTTTCTTTGTGCAATCAATTCAGAGAAGTTACCTCTTCGTAGACTAAGAAAAGTAGAAACTTTCAATACACACTGATCTTGACCATTTCCATCGGAATATTTCTAGTGTCATTCTTTTTTAGGTTCTATCTCTTCAGAAATTCTAAGTTCAAACCTCTTTATATAATAAAGAAAAGAAAACGAGATACACAAAATCAAAGGGACAATAAAGAATCTTGATGATCCGCTTTTACAGTACCTGTGTTCATTGATCGGCTTGTTTTTTCTTTACGGGTCATAAGGCCCATGACCAAGGTTGCATGATCAGCTTTATGAACCAACTTCATGGTTAGTAGTTTGATGAATTAAAGTAGGGGGAAGCTCATTTCAACTTTAAAATCATGAAATTATGATGTTCCTCAAAACAAGTAACCCATTTGGTTGGTAATCGTATATAGCAATTGAACAGATCATTTGGGGTCCAAACTTTAAAAATCAACACTTTTTTTTTTCAATTGAATACAAGAGATTGGTAGAGGTAGTCTACACATATTCACCAATGATGTTCCTCAAAACAAGTAACCCATTTGGTTGGTAATCGTATATAGCAATTGAACAGATCATTTGGGGTCCAAACTTTAAAAATCAACACTTTTTTTTTTTTAATTGAATACAAGAGATTGGTAGAGGTAGTCTACACATATTCATTGGGTGTCTAGTGATTTAGAACGTCTGACCACATAAGTAGAGGTGAAAGAGCTCAATCAACTGACATATACCCAACTCACAATAACCAAGAATCAACACTATAGCAAAGATGTTATTGTTAAAATACCTTGAAGCCTAGTAAATAGCACGCAAGCCCAACTGGCCTCATTACATGGGTTTAACTCAAAAGCCCAATTGGTGTATAAAGAGCTGCCCCTTTGTTAAGTTGTTCCAAAATCCGGCATGGATTAGGAAGGATCCAATGATAAATGAATCCAAAAGGGCCCAAATAACAAGTTATAATTGAGCAAATAATCTGATGTTTGGAATATAACACGTGATTATCCTAAAAGTAGAGCATATGAGTGTCTCTTTGGAATTCATTGCTTTAAGGAAAACAAAATGGAACATGGGTGTTTTCCTAACCATTATAAAGCAAATTCTTCCGTAATCCAAACTTCTCTACGATTCTTTCTCAGTACATGTGCAAGCACATGTCTGTTCTTCAGCATTTGATGGTCATGTTATATAGTGAAAGTCTCAACAGGCCAACAAACACCTGAGAGAGCTACAAACATGTGTAAGTAGTTGTCAACCGTTGCACCCTAAACTCGAGATGATCATCCGTAGCATTATTCTTTTTTGTTTAAAACTTTGGGCCAAGGTGGGTAATTTTTGTGTCAGTATTCCATCTTGTCATTTAAATGATATTGTTGGAATCAATCAAATAATTTGGTTAGTCTTACAAACCACTGGAGGGGAGGGGGCCATGGATTAAGGAAACAAGGAACACAAAGGGAGACAACCATGTGGAGCTTGTAGAATGAGTAGACGAAGCTATTCATGCAATAATAAAATCCCCATGTTAGCCTACAGTGTCCTTTCTCCGTTAGCTTTCTCCGTTAGTCTTTGATATATAAGTTGATTGAAGACCAAAGTTCATTTCATGAATTTGCCCTGTGGAAAGAATCCCATCGAACAGACAACCAACAAAGCAATTTAGTGTATGATTGAAACTCCATTATTGCCTAAAGCAATTGCCATTAACCCTGTAGAACATTCCACCTTCATTTACACAAAATCAATTTAAAAATTAAGGGATGAAATAACTATCTGCTACTGAACATTACCACGTTGCTGTCATTTTAAGGTTGAACACACCCACAGATTGGGTTTTTTTTCTTCTTCTTTTTTTAACTTTTAGGTAAAGAAGAGACAGATCGGTTAGTTTACTGATGCTATGAACTTAATTGTGGTATTAATGAGTGTGAGCTTATGATTTTATCTTCTTTTTTTCTTTGGCAATGAATCCACATCTCCAAAGCAAAGTTCTCCAAGATCAAATGGGCCTACCCCATTTGCTTTCTTGACAGAGGAAGTCCCCATTGGAAGGAAAAAGGGAAAGGTAAAAGAAAGCAGCAAAGGGATTGAGAAGGAAAAAGACTACACACAAAAGAAAAGAAAAGCCAGCACATAGCATTTACAAAAGAAGAAGATATGGAGGAGATGATGATGAGGACCAGTTCTGCTACTAGTAGCCCAGAAACTAGCAGAAATGAAACCATTAATTCTATAGAGCCCATCACCACCTCCACTTGCCCAAGCTGGAAACTTTACGAAAACCCATTTTATAATTCTCATCTCCGCCATCAAAATCAACCCCAACAACAACAACAACAACAGCAATGCCAAAGTAGCAGCAGCAACAAGCAACAAGTTCATCATTGCCTGCACCTCCCTATCTCTGCTCGCAAGCTTGCTGCTACTTTCTGGGATCTAACGTTCTTCAAGCCAGTCATGGAGTCTGAGATAGATTACACACGAGCCCAGATCATAGAATTGAAAGCTGAGCTCGAATATGAACGCAAGGCACGAAAGAAGTTGGAGTCTTCAAACAAGAGGCTGGCCAAAGAGTTAGGTGAAGAGAGAAGGGGAAGAAAAGCGATTGAGAGGGTGTGTGAAGAGCTTGCCAGTGAGATTTCATTTGGGAAATCAGAGATTAGTAGGATGAAGAAAGAGATAGAGGAGGAGAGAAAGATGCTTAGAATGGCTGAGGTGCTGAGAGAAGAGAGAGTTCAGATGAAGCTCGCCGAGGCGAGGATTCTATTTGAAGAGAAGCTGTTTGAGTTGGAGGGTTGTAAACAAATGCAGAGCACTGAGAATTCACATTTCAAGATCAAAGACAAGAGTGAGGATGTTAATGCTGCAATTTTTTCAGGAAAGTCAGCTAGCAATGATAAAAACATTGGTGTTGATTGTTCAAGAGACTCAATGAGTTTGGTGGTTTTGGGTGAAAAGTCTTCTGCTTTTTCAGGTGATCATAATAATGACTATGTTTCCAGTGTGTCTGCTACAACTTCAAGGTCAGTGCTTTTGGGTGAGAAGGCAGCTTGCAGTGACAACAGCGGTGGTTTTTCATCAATAGCAATTCAGAAAAGAGCCTCACCAGAACCAGAAAATCCTCACATAAAGAGAGGGATCAAAGGGTTTGTTGAATTCCCAAGAGTGGTCAGACCAATTGGATCCAAAAGCAGGCATTGGGGTACAAAGCTGGAATGTCAAAAGGCTCAGCTCAGAATTCTGCTGAAGCAAAAGAGCCCCATCAGATCCAATAGTTTCATTATTAGTTGAAGATCAAGTAGTTCCTAGGATCTGTTCAAATTCTCTGTGTTTCTTAATCATTTTGTTCTTTCTTAATCTATAGTATTTTCTATATCCATTGCTTATGTGGATTGTTGAAAGAGGTATGATTTTGTGCTCATGTGGATTTTAATGTATGAAACCGGAAAAAAGTATTGATTTGGATCTGATCAAGGGCTAAAAATTGTACAGACTTTATTCTAAATCTGTGAACTTTAGACTTCTGGAAAACACATGCACATGCTTCATTTTTAGTCCACTTGAGTTGAGTGTGCATTCTTTTGAGTTCTAAAGACATCTACACAACACATGCACTGCTGCACATGCTTCACTTTTATCCCACTTGAGAGTGCATTTTTAGTCATGATAATACATAGTTAATTAAAGTTAAACAGATATATGCAGATGTTTATAGTAATTAAGAGGTTGATTAAGACGATTAGCAGACTGGAAATGCATTAGGCTTGCATAGCAACAGTTGGTTTTCTTTCCCAAAATGGACCACACATACCTTTATCTACAAGGAATGGACCACATATGGTATGTGATCTACCCAAAATATATTTTGCAGACATGGCCTATAGTGAGAAATTGGACCATTCAGAGGTTTTGCATAGCTCTCATTTGAGAATATGAGATTATCAAAGAGGAAATTAGACAATAGGGAGAGCTATTCTAACAGTTTCCAAATCTGTTTTGATATTACATATTGCTATCTTAGTGTGTCACATGAGGCTAAGATCTTTGATAGATTTTGGTCCAAGGGGAAGATTCTTTGGTCTTTAGAAATGATTACCATCCAATTAAAAATTCTTCTGGGCAGCAGAAAAGCTATAAAATATATGATTAAAAACATGAACTTGCTGCCACCTTAGAAAAATGCAATCATTCCTCAAAGAGGGTGTTTGATGGTATATTACACCCTGGAAGATTAGTCCATAACTATTGGGAAAGATTAAAGCCAGATTAATACAAGATCAGACCATAATTCGAATTTAGATGTTCTCAATCCAAATAACCAAGACATACCAATATTTCAGCCCTGCCCCTACCTATGTCTACAGGCAACATCAGGAAAAACTTACTGGTGTAAAATAATGAGAGGCATCCGTGAATCAAAAAGCAAATGGCATATAGTGATAGAGTGCAAGTAAAACAAGTTCTAGATCTGGAAGTTTGAATTTCATCATGTTTCCCAAATGAAGTAAAAACCTCAATCACGACATGGAAACAAAATTGTACTCTTCATTCAGCTCTAAGATATGTCAGGCACGCAAAGAATTTGTAACTCAAGTGGTTAAAAGTATTTATTTATGCACCTAAGATCTTATATTCGATTTCTCATTCTCTAATATTGATTATATCAATGCCAGGCACTTGCAAAATGTCCCTGGGATTAAAATTAGGCTTGGCTTGGCCATGTTCTTGGTCTGCCTAAGTAAGCATTATGTAGCAAATTGGGCTAGTTTGGGTGGCTATATAAGTTGTTGGCTCAATAACTTCTCCAAAACATCAGACAGACAAAGACATGCATGATTGGGTTCCACCCCAGATGTATAGCAGATCGGTACTTAACCAAACTCAGCAACTATATTAATTATTCACATCAAGAGTGTATAGAAATAAACATTCTCTTAACCCAAACTTAATTCATGTTTGAAATTTGTGGGGTCTCAAAATTAATATGCCAAGTGGATGGAACCCATTTCAACGTGACGAATTGGTTACTGCATCAACATCTCAACCAGCCTTTTTCCCTTTGGTCCCCAGACCCCAACACGAAACCTCGAGGGCCCCACTTGAGAGAGCTTCCCAATGCGGCTTGACATTGTTAACGGCGTCAGTTAAGGTGAGGGTCAAGCTCGGGTCAGACTGCACAGCCATGTCCCTCGTACAAAAATGACAGCCAATGAAAGCCTTGCTTCTGCACTGAAGTCAAAAAGTCAAAGCAATCAGACATTTGTTTATTACTATTCGACTACATCAAGTCCAATCCTACACATTGATTCCTATAATATAGTACTTTTAGAGGCCAACAGTGTTAGATTTGACGTGAAGTAAACGTTATGTCTTATGTGTTAGAGAAAGAGGAGAGAGAAAAAGAGAGAGAGAGAGAGCTTGTGCTGCCAGCTGCTTGTACTAGTTTTGTCCATATTCATAAGAGGAACTAATGTTGGAAGCTTGGGAAGCAAAGCAAAGCGCATGGCTAAAAATGGCGGCACCGCCACACCATAGCAAAACCCACAAGAACAACAACACAACACAACACAAGGAGAGAGAGAGAGAGAGAGAGAGAGAGAGAGAGAGATGAAGTGTCGTTGAAGGAAGAGAGAGGAGGGGGCCAGAGTAAATAGAGTGGCATAGCTAGCGTGGGTTGTAATTAAGGCTGATTTTTCCCTTTGGGGTTGTGGGTTGAAACTTGAAGAGGGCAGTGAGAAAGTTTGCTTTTTTATTTTGATTTTTCAATTTGACCATAAACATGGGGAAGAGAAATGGGTTTGTTGTGGCTTCAGAGAAGGGAACAGCAGAAGAAACAACAGAGTGCTGTGATATTGGGTTGGGTTTGATGATGCAAAAAACCCACCAATCATTTCCTCGTAAGAAGATGATGATGATGATGCCTCATCATCATGATCATCATGAGCAGCCTCTGCTTAGCAGTGGAGGTAGTTTTGGTGGAGAAGGTTGTGGGGTTTTTGAGCATAGTGCTAGTGGACCTTTGTTTTGTAACACAAGCAACCCAGTCACTAGTTGTATCAGTGATATATACAATGCTGTCGGTTCTGATTTTGGTTCTGTGGTGCCAAAGTCTCTGCAGCAGCCTTACTCTGATCACAGCTTGTCTTTCAGTCCCTCAGGTAAAGTTCCTATCTTTTTTATTTCTTCAACAGATAATAAAGAACAGAAATTTGTTGAACAATTTCTCTGGTCTTTTGTTGGGTTTTTAATGTAGTAGGTGGAATGGTGAATGTGAATATGAGGCTTCCTTTTACCCCAGCTCAAAGGGAAGAGCTTGAGAGACAGACTATGATTTACAGGTACATGATGTCCTCTGCTCCTGTCCCTCCACACTTGCTTGTTCCCATTGCCAAGAACCCATCAAATGTGGCTCACTTGTACCCAAATTGTAAATCTTTCTGCTCTTCATTCTTGTTCATCTTTTGGTCTTTTTTAACAATGTTGTGTTCCTTTGTTTTAAAGAACATTCCTTTCCTCTTTTCCTTGTTACTGGTTTTGTGTTTTTAGTGGTAAGAGGTTCATTGGAGTTGGGGTTTTCTAGCAACTCAGATCCTGAGCCATGGAGGTGTAAAAGAACAGATGGTAAAAAATGGAGGTGCTCTAGAGATGTAGCTCCTGATCAGAAATATTGTGAGAGGCATGCTCACAAGAGCCGGCCCCGTTCAAGAAAGCCTGTGGAATCGAACCCCAACTTCATCAACAACAACACCACCACCACCACCACTAGAATGAGAAGCCCGAGGTCTAATTTTGTCAAAAACAATAACAGCAACCAGCCAACTCCATTTTCTACCAACATGGTCTCTCCTACTGTTCCATCACATGCCCAGCCCAGGTGGGTTTGGTTTGGATCCAAGTTTCAATGCTCTCCGAAACTTAGGACCAAAACGCATTAATTCTATTCTATTTTATTGCTTGTTCTTATCCATTGCCAGTGAATGTGTCAATGTGATGTGGATCTTGGACTTGGATATTAGTTTCTTGTTTTCTTTTTTGTTTTGTTTTGTGTAATAAATGTGCTTTTTGTCTTTGACCATGAAGGTCTATGGGTTGGTTCATGAAGGGGGAAACACCCACCGCTCCCACTGCTGGTGGTTCAAACCAAGGATGGGAGCAAATGACGCAATTTAAGTTAGGATTAAAGAGCTGCTACACCAAGTGCAATACAGATGTGGATGTATCAAAGCAACAAAATGAGAGCTCATTCAATTTGTATAGAGAGTATACAGGTGAGAGCCAAGGCCTGCAAACTCAGAGGCCCTCCCATGACCAATATGGCTTGTTGCTGAGCCCCAAGTTGGCTCATTTGGAAGGAGCCTTAAATTCCAATCAGACACAGGAAACAAGGCATTTCATTGATGCACGGTCCACAACAACAGAGAGAGATAGTAGTATTGGTGAAATTGGCAACAGAGGCTATGTTTCTTCAAACCAGAAGCTACCCTTTTCATCTCTTACTCTATCAATGTCTAGAGGGAATGAAACCAATGAAGAAACTGACAATACTCAAATGGGTCTTGGAATTTTGGGTTCTGAAAGGGAAAATGTTGGAGATTTGAAGTCTCAATGGATGAACCCTCTTTCATGTATGAGCTCACCACCTGGTGGACCATTGGCTGAAGCTTTGTGCCTTGGCATTGCCAGTTCCACAAGAGCAACATCCTCTAATGGCTGCATTAGTGGCTCCACCTCCAGTGGAGATGGTGTTTATACCTAGAATGAGTTCGATTTGATCAACTGAAGAGGTGGACAAGCAAGCAATGGGGGTTTACACCTAAATGTTTGAACTTTTGGGGAAGATCCACAAAGGGGAAAAAATGACTCTTTTGATTGATTTTCTTGCCTACATGCATTAGGAGGTTGCGGTTCATTACCTTTTCTTGTTCTTCTTTTCTATCTATTTGTTGAAAGAAATGAAAAGAATATGCATCTAACTTATGGTAAGTGTAACTCATGCACCTAGGATTTTACGTAGTCATGGATCATGCCACTGCCATCAAGTTCTTTCATAACATAGAATTGCGTCTTTTTTGTGGGAAATCCCATGTCTTATTATACTAATTTGAAGAAATCCCAAAATCAGTTCTGTAAAAAGATGATAATTTACCTTAGGTAGTTAACCAAACCTTCCCCACATTTATGTGTAGCAAGAACAAAGATGTAAGAAAAACTACAAGCCAAGGCTCATGATGCGAACACCCTAAATAATCATTCTTTTAATCAAAGTTCTTATGCAAATCTTTACGAAGTTGGAACTCTGTATTGTTTAAGCGCGTCTCATATTCTACCAAAGCTTATTCCAACTTAAGAAACATTTTGTGCTATAGATTGTCCCACACTAATTACTCTCACTCGAAATCGCAAACCACGAACAATATTATAGAAGTATAGCAAAAGAAATATCAAAGTCACATTGTTCATCTCGAATTAGGATAAGCCCACATATGATGATGAGGTATATGCTTTTAACTATTTGAGTTTCAAGTCTTTTGCTAAAGTTTGATGGCTAGAACACTCAAAAAGGCTTTAAAACTAGGGTGAAGACCAAAAGACTCAAAGCTCTTGCGCCAGACACAAGACAAGACCAGGCACACCACACCCAAAAAAAGAAGAGAAGTAAGAAAATGGGCTGTGTAAGAGCCCAGCCCAGCCCCCACCAACCTTCCTTAATATGCTATGTTGGGCTGGGCACCACAACATGAATGAATATTCAATTAATATATTATTTGAGTTGCACTACAAAAGCATTTGTCAGGAATTCCCAAGTTCACATGATTTTCGTAAAACTTGCAATAGTTTTTACAGCACTTGCCTCCTTCTGTTATATATCACTTTATGTTATATCATAATATCATTTTTGGGTTATATATATTCTCCATATGCTGCCCATTAGGAAAAAGAAAAAAGACAGGGAAAAAAAAAACCCATCCAATCATTCATAAAATATTCCTTTCTAATTCTTAATCAGGCAATAAATGAGAACTAGGTTCATTTTCATAAAAATTTGCCTCATTTCAACCACCTTAGATCAGTGGTTGAACAAGGGGAAATCTCTCCCCCTAGGCTATCAGTATATGAAGACAGATTCTCCCTTCCATAGTAGCCATTATTTTGTACACTCTTGTAGCTGGGACTTCTCAAGTTATGGCTGAAACTACTACAACCAATGCCAACAGAGTTATGTTGCAGTGCCTCAGCTGGGACTGGATATGAAAGTCTCTTCTTGGCTGAACCACCACCTCTTTCTCTCTCGGGTGTCGAGGGTCTTGTTCTGGGTGCACTAAGAGATCGAGCCTTTGCCTTTGCAGATTCAGTGGCAGCCATGTAATTTGGTATCGCAGAACGACACATTGAACCCCTGAAACAATAAGAATTAGAGCCTAAGTTTGGTGTGTGTGCTGCTGATGAGCAGCAATACTTTTCCTCCTTCAGGCATCTTGGGCTTGCTGATCGGACTTTCAGATATTTGGGTTTTGAAGGAGAGGGTGTGGCAGTTGAGAGATGATTAATGTAGTGTGATTTGTGCAGGGGTGAAGGTGAAGCAATTGGATATGGGGATGGCGGTTTTTGAAGTTGTGAATGTGATGTGGAAATTCGAACATTTGGGGCAGAGTAAGAGTAAGAGTAAGGCCTAGAATTTGTGTCAATTTCAACTGTTTTTATGGTGTCCCTTTTGTCAATTGAAGCCCTGCTGCTGTGCTCAAATTGCTTTGTGGCCATCCATCTGTCAAGCCATTTTGTTCTCTCTTCTAGCTCTGCTTCCCCTGCAGATGGGTTCCTCCGAGGCTTCCATATCTTCAATTAGGCATCAATAATTAAATCAAAGACATTAGCTTCTTGTTCTTAAACAAACACAAAAAGTACTTAAGAACCATACATAGAAAAAAGTGAGGGAGATTGATGAACCTGGTGAGAGAAAGCATAAGCAAGAGCCTTTTCACGTTTTAAAGCAGCTTCCCTTCTACTCTGCAACATGGCTTCCACCCCTTCATCCCAATCATCCCCACCACGACTTTTCTCTCTTGACTGATGAAAAGCAGTCAGTTACTTTGAGGAATAAATTCAGTTCATGTTTTTGTTATACTAAAACAGTGAAGAAAGCTGGTACTTACCATTGACTTTCTGTCACGAATGTCATGAAGATATCTCGATTCCCACAAGGGAAAGTCTGTTTCGGCATACATGGACTTTCTGCCCCCATCATGTGAAAGCCTTGATCTTTCATTGCGAACCTGATCTTGTACACGAAGCAGAGCTTGCATGCATTTCAGTGTCAGCTTTGCATGCTTCCTTACATTATGACCTCTTACTAAAGCTTGAAGCTTTACCAGCCCCTTCAGTGCACGTAGAGCTCTCCTTGCCTTCAATCAAGCAACCACATTTGAATTAGCAATATGTGAAGGAGCTCAAAGAAACAAGCAGAACCCATATAAGGAAATTTCATATGTTGTTTGTGGTTAATGTTTTGTGGTTCACTTACTAAGTAACCTCTGAAAGCTGTTTGAATAAGGGTGGCAGCATACTGTTCTTTAGCAAAATTGTTCGGCCTAGTAAGCCGAACAACTTCTACTGCCGCTTGGGCAGTAGCAACAGCTGCTTCGGCCGTGGCTGCGGCCACAGCAATTGCACGCCTTTGCTCAGCAACCAAAACAGGATTCACAGGTGTGGTTGTTGCATTTATAGTCACTGTCTTTGCTTCAGATTGTTGAACATGAATAGTTGGCTTTCGGAAAAGCCATCTTCTCTTTTCTCTCTTCTGCTTGCACAAACCAAAACAATCAGCATTTAAACAGACACAAAAAAGGGGATCAAATCAAATCAGTAGAGAAAATGAAGGCACGTGATGGTATGCATGGTTACCTTTTCTTCCTCTTCTGGTTCATGCTCATCTCTTCTTCTGCTGATCTTTTGCTGATCGTTATCTTTAGTTGGAGACCTAAATGCCCTTTTGACTACAGTCAACCATGAGGTACCACTTTTCTTTCCCATTTAGGTGTTTGAGCAAAGTCTGCAGCATTACATGAAATTAAGCTGGTGAAGGCGAAAGGAGAAACTGAAGAAGGTGAAGTTAGTAGTGTGCTTGTTATGATGAGAGAGAGAGAGAGAGAGAGAGAGAGAGAAGAAACAATACATTAGACAATTTATATGCAAGAATTAATGAAAGAGAGAGCTCCAATATATGTGATAAGCGATGGTGTTTTCTTGTGGCATGCGAAAAAACTAATGGAGGAGGTGTCAGGTATTGTAAAAAACAATGCAAGTAATAAGTTTGAGACAGTGGACGTGAGGGGGAGAGATTTCAATGTAGAAGAAGAATCCAAAGTCCTTTCAAAAACAAGCAGGGCTTTTTGACTGATCAATGGCTTTAAATTACACTGACCAAAATCTAATGGTTTCACGTGTTATATGGACAACAATAGTACGAGAGAGAGAGAGAGAGAGAGAGAGAGAGAGAGAGAGCGCATTTTGTGTTTGATTTTGCAGTGAATGTGGCCAAATGTATTTATGTTTGTTTGCTGCATTTTTTTGTCTCTCGAAGACCACCAACTAAAATATGGCAGCAGAGAAATCGCATGCATACAACTATTCATGGGTAAAAGAAAACAGAGTTGGCTTCATTTTCCCAGTAAATATCAGTCAAACTAAGTTTGATTTGATTCTCTTTTGGTCAACTTTTTAAAGTTAATTCTACCCTAGTAAATAATAAACATACACAGTCACAGTGCACTTCATCTCTTCCTTTCTTCGCATAAAAATGAGCTTGTTATGTTATGTCTTCCAGTTTACTGAGATTAAATGAAAGAAATTAAAGGCTAACAGCAGCAAGTACCAAACAAATCTTCAATATCTATGAAGATGGACCAACCAGTATATTTTGTGTCAGTGTCACATCATATTTACACCTCGATAATGGCTAGACAACTCTTCCTGGTTCTGAGACATCGGGCCCAAATTAAAACTTAATGTTGTACTTGGTGGTCAATGGGCTGAACTTGTGTCTGATTAGTAGGTCCATAAATTTGTCCTGTATTAATAGAGTTCTTGGGTCGAAATTTGTACAATTTAAGTTCTATGCTAGTAACTTTCTCTCTAACCTTCTCTTTTGGACCTTCTTCCTTCTCTTAATGACATGTGTCACTTTCTCTACACTTAAAACAATGTCATTAATACATTAGACAATGTATGTTTTGTTTTCCAAATTTACCCTTGTTAAATGCATTGGACAAACTAACTATAATTTCCACCTTGTTAAAAAATTAAAAGTGAATTTTAAAATCTTCTACAAAACTAACGTCAGTTTTTTTTTTTTTTAATAAAAAAAAATTATGTTTACTACTTTTTTTGGGTGAGGGAAGGGAGAATGGGTTTTGGGGTATGGATTGAAGGAGGAGAGTGAGAAGTATAGTGCACGGTGGGTTTTGGATTGGAGAGGAATGGTGATGATTGGGTAGGGATGGGGACTGAGATATGCTGTAATGGACAGAGAGATAGAGAGAGATGCTGTAATGGGTTTGGGGGTTTTTTTTTTTTTTTCTGTTTCTTTTGATCTTTTAACTTTTTTAATCAATTAGAATGCTCATTAATTTTTAAAAATATTTATCTGTATTTTTTTTTTAATTCCATAATTTTTAACGGTTTTATTGTAAAACTTATTTTTGGAACCAAAAAGAGTTTTTTTTAGGGAAGTATACTTCGTTTTTATTTTCAAATATTTATTTAATTGAACTTTTAATGTTTATTTTTTAAATTTAATTGTTTAAATTAAGTTGTAAATGGAAGGAAATATAAAGTTAATACATTTAATAAGGGTAAATTTGGGAACAAAAGATATTGTCTAATGCATTAATGTCATTGTTTTAAGTGTAGAGAAAATGACACATGCCATGAGGAGAAGGGAGAAGGTTCAAAAAATATGGTTAAAGAGAAGGTTGTTAGCATTCCCCCTATGCATATTATGAATAAGTGGAACTTTTCTTCACCCACTTCCTTACTGGTTTTTTCCAGGCAGATGAAGACCAGCTATATGAACTGTAGCTCAGTAAACAATAGGAGCTGAATTTTTTAGCCCAAATCCCAATTGAACACATATTTTACCCTTGCACAATCATTGTCCTTCACCCAGGAAAAGAAGGCCATCATCCTTTACTGGCATCCACTCAGTAAAAATTCAAAAAGAAACCAGGAAAGAATGAAAAAGCTTCAGAAAAGTACATATCAGCAACTATAATGGAACAATACCAGCACATCAAAAGGCTTTGCTAACTCAACATCAGCCTTTTTCAGGACCAAAGTTGCACAGAAAAACTAGAGCACTCACAAAAATTATGTTTAGAATGATATGTTCATTCTATTTTTTGTGGAGAACAACAGAACCTATGTTGTCTCCTCTAGTCTTAAGGATTGCTCCCTGTCTTCCACTTGACATGCTTGATTGCGAGTTAAACATCTTGGCAGCATTTGGATGAGAGCATCAATGAACCTTTGGACAATTGCTAGAGGTAGTGAAGAACACAAACAGAAAGGCAATGAAAGGTCAGCATTCACTTTGTGTTTAAAGGTGCTTTGAAGATTCTGTCCTATGTTTGTCTTGGTATTTGATATATGACCATACTAGAGCTTCCGTACCTTCTCTCCAGATCAGTACTTCCCTATACTCAGAAGTATTCTTTTCTCGACCGATGAACCAGCTGATTCTTCAACAGTAACTTGTACATGGCAAGAAGATTTACCATTCTCCTTAGACTTCTCAAATCAAGAGCACATCCATATGTTGAACTTTATCCAGGGACAACAATTCTCTAACAACTGAATGATAACTAATAGTTTTCCCCTGCTCATAACTTTCTAATACAATAAATCTTTCACTAGTTGTACTAAATTTGCTGCTAATTATTTTTTATGAGGGAGGTTGAAGTGAATTTCAGAGGATTTCTCAATCACATGCATAAACTGCTGCCCTATTGAAGTTGAACAATCAACAAGAACACATTAGGCCAAGTATTTCAAAAGATGTAGGAAGCCAACTTTTACACATTGGTTCCTTAGGAATTGGTCAAATATCAACAGCTTCTCTGGAATTACTAGAGTACAACAGTTTTGTTGCCCAACCAACATTAGCATCAAACAGAAAAGTAAACTAGCAATGCAATTTGACCTGTAATTTGAACTCCATCAATGTCCAATTTCACTGCACCAGCAATGCACAATTGAGATAATGGAACTCAACATTTCTAAAATGAACAAGCCTGGTCCCTAATCTCTCTAATTGTTTGTCTTTTAAACTTTGCATTGTTCAAGGCTTCAAGCGAATAAAAGACCTTCACATATCAAAACATGCATACACATAATTATAAACAGAGAGAAAACAAGAGACACAGAAGCTTTGGTTTCCATCAGAAACACAAGAAATTACTATGGTAGACAGAAAGTGTTTACAAAACCCAATCTGATATGAAACAGATCTCTCATCTCTGTCAACCGTTCAGCTACAAATTGGGCAAAGCACCAACCCATTCTCATTACACTCAGGGCACCTGACCACCACAGTGCTCCCCTGCCTCTGACCCAATTCTTCCTTGACCACCAACACCATCTTTGAACTCCCATTGCACTGAAAACAGGGCAAGAACTTGGCCTCCCCACACCCCTCACAAACAGACCCAGCTTTTTTCTTTGGACACCCATCAAGAATCTCACCCAACAAACCCTCCTCCAAAATCTTCAACACCTCCTCAGCCCCACCCACATATCTCCCCTTCACAAACACCCTTGGAGGCACCCCTGCCTCCTCTTTCCCGTCCATCAAATCCCTCAGCTCTTCTCTGAACCCACGATCCATCGACACGTCGCGCTCGACAATCATCACCCCGAGTCCTTCTATCGCCGCTCTAACGGCGTTGCACGCCTCGAAAGTCCTCCGAACACCTCGCAACGTCGTCGTATAGACCACCACCTTGTTTTCTCCGCCCGGAGGGCATATCTTCTCGAACCGGTCAAGTGGGCCCTCGTTCTTCACGCCGAAAACGCCGTTGTTCGGAGACTTGAAAATTCCGCGATTGGGGTTGGAGTTTTCCTTACCGGCAGTTTTTGGGTCTCTAAAGTTGAAGGGTTTGGGCGGCGGGAGCGGCGAGAATCGGAAGCTATCGGCGCCGAGGCCGGCCCTGGGCTCCCATGGGGTGATAACCTCCCGGTC